CGCGCGACCCCTCCTCAAACCCCGCCGGCAAGGAAACCCCGCAACACCTTTATGAACGGACGGCGGCGGGCCTCCAGAGGCCGGCGGACACGCCGCGCGGACCCGACGACCCCCGTTCCCCCCCCGGGAGCGGGGGGGGCGGGGCATGGAGAGGCCATGGCGCAGGGGGGGGAGAGGGGCCGGGGAGGGGGGGGATGGGGGGAGGGGGGAGGTAGAGGAAGCTAAGGTGGAGGAGGATGCGAAAAACAAAGACGAGACGAGACATGTTCTATTGCTACGCGCGCGCCGGGTTACTCTCCGCAGAAGCGGCCGAGGTTCACGGAGAGCGTCGGCGAGACAGTCGCCACTTCCGCCCCGAACCTGCGAAGCGCGGCTTCGCCGTCGTCGCGCGAGGCTGGATCAAGCGGATCTGATTGAGCATGCACAAGTTCGAACCACGTCCTGATGTCGCAACGGCACAGCAATTCGTGGATAGCTCCCACCACACACGCTACGCGCGGGGATCTGGCATACCCTTTGACACGCTGATGGCTGTCATATCGCCCCCAAAACAAAACGCGCAGTGCGAGCGCAGCCGGTCGCCCCACAGTTCAAAGGATTTGGCGATCCACCACGCATCTGCTCCAATGATGGCGCGGTCCTCGCGCGGACCTAAATGCCTTTACGAGCGGGGGCAGAACGACGCTGAAGCCCATTCGCATGTTCTGGCCAGGAATGACGAGGGGGGCCGCTGCCCGCTTCGAGGCGAGGGCTGCGTCGCCGCGCAGCACTGCGACCGGGGCGCCAGTCGGAATTAGCTGCACGACGCGCGGCGGGCCACTGCGCAACAGAGCCGCCCAAAGGCGCAGAGCTTCCTGAGCGGGCGGCCGCCGCGCGCCAGACTTCTGGATTGCATCCGAATTCCCCGACGCTTCAAGAAGCGGCCGCCTGGCGCGCACGCCGGCCTTGCCGTGGAAGCCGCGCGGAGCAAGCGCAAGCGGCCCCGCCCTCGAGCCCAGAACGGCGGCAGGTCCTCCTCCTCCTCCTCCGCATCCACGTTGGCTCAAGATGTTTCAGCCTGGCGGCAGGGGGCGGAGACCCGTGGCCCAGAGACAGCTCAGGACCCAATTGCGCCACGTTGCGCCCGCGATGTTGGCCTACATATCCTTCCATATCCACGTGCAGATTCCTTTCTCAGTGGCTGGCGCGGGCCACCTCTTTCCGCCGTGCGTGCCGAGGATGAAAGTAAGAAATCGGCGGCCGCAGCTGGGGCCCTCAAAGGAGCCGCTGGCAACGGACTGGACCCATGGGCAGCGTCAGCGTCAAAGCTCGGAGCAGAAGCCCTCTCTGTACACGTCCGCTAACAGCTCGAGGACACCCTGTCAGAACAAGTCAGACCAGCGGCACGCCGCGTCGAAGCCGCAGGAAAAAGCACCGCAGAAGCAACCCGCGCCAAATCTCACGCAGCCAGCCACCGCCATCGCGAAGGAGCTCACAGGAAAGAGCGAGCGGACAGAGAGAGAGAGAGAGGTGTTCATGGTCAAGCAGAGGATGAACCGCGCGGAGCAGATCAATAGCAACCTCAAAGACTCGGTCGCCAAACTCGAAGCAGTGGTCGCAGCAGCCGAAGGCCGTCCGCCATCCATCGACTTCGCCTCCCTCGGCATCTGGGACCGCGAGCCCGACCCTGTCACGTTCTTGTGCGGACGCGCTGTCTCCATGGTTGAGCCTGAGCTACGTGCCCCGCTCGCCGATCGGTTCAAAGCCGCCGAGGTGGACCCCGCCCACATCGCCTTCAACAGAGGCATTCCTTCTCGGTCACAGGAGGCACCCTCGTCGCCGAACCTAGAGCCCGAAGACTTCACGAAGCTCGTCGCTTTGGCAAGACCTGGCCGGACTTCAAAATCATGGTGGGTTGTTTTTCCTTGCGCTCTTTATGTCAGTGGGGACAAGAGCCCAAATATGGCACGCAGAGAAGTACAAATCAAGAAACTCGCAAAGATCCTGCAGTCCAAGGCCGACGTCGGCAAGGTGCGCGCGCACCGCTCCAAGGGGTACATCTCGCACAAAGTGGACGCGCTGTTTCAGCTCATGGCTGGCACTTCTGTCGACCATCCTACTACTGCGCGCTGGCCAGAAGCTGCGCATGCTCTCGGCATTGGCGACCACCATCAGCACCCCATCCCTACCGAGTTCGCCACCGCATTTTCGGACCCACTCTCAGCTGCGCAGTTGCTTTAGCACGAGATGGTGGCCGTGGTTCATCAAACAGGCGGCGGATGGTTTCAGCATTGTTTTCTAAAACATCCAAGCAGCTTGTGGACGCTCTGGCGTTCGTAGACATGCGAAGCTCCGTCATCTTCCCCGACTCTTTCGCCAACGAGTGGTCATCGCGCTGCAGGAGATGCATGGCGCGCTGGAGAACCTCATGCTCCTCGCGAGCTCGACGGGGCACTTCTAGCTCGCCTGCAACTCCCCGGCGCAGACCAAACGCGACTGCCCGCTCGACCCGCAGATGTTCTCCACCCACCTCGGCTGGCGGGATCGGCATCCTTGTCCACTTCGACAAGGCCGAGGGAACCTGCCCGCCCGAACCGCGCCCACTTCGTCGCTTCGAATTGGTCTTCAGCACAATACCGGGCACTGAACAGCCTCCGTCACCAACGCAACACCAAGTTCTCAACAGCATCCCGCTGCAGGAGAGAACCCTTAGGAGTTCTCTTCAATTCCCGATCCGCCCGCCCGCCCGCCCGCCAGACCGCCCGCCCAGCCGCCGCCCGTCAGCCCCCCCGCCGCCCGTTCACCGTACTTCCGCGTTCAACAAAACACCCAGTACTCAACAGCGTCCGTCTCCAATACAACACCGAGTACCCGACAGCTCCCTTCTCCAACACAACACCCAATACTCAACGGCACCCCGCTGCAAGAGAGACTCTTTAGAATTCTGTTCACATTCCGATCCGCCCGCCGCCAGCCCCACCGCCGCCCGCCCGCCCCCCCGCCGCCCGTTCGCCGTCTTTCCTCGTACAACACAACATCCAGTACTCAATAGCGTCCGTCTCCAACACAATGCCGAATACTGGACAGCCTCCGTCTGCAACGAAACCCCCAGTATTCAACAGCATCCCGCTGCAACAAAGAATCTTAGGGGTTCTACTAAACTCCCGATCCGCCCGCCCGCCGCGCGCCCGCCGCCCGCTCCCCGCCGCCCGCTCGCCGCGTCCCCGCGTCCAACACAGCGCCCAGTACTCAACAACGTCTGTCTCCAACACGACACTGGGTACTCAACGGCTTCCGCCTCCAACGCGACGCCCAGCGTTCAACGGCATCCCGCTGCAAGAGAGAATCCTCAGGAACGTCATTCGAATCCCGATCCGCCGGCCGCCCGCCCGCCGCCCGCCCCCCGCCGCCCGCCAGCCGCGCTTCCGCGTTCAACGCAGCATCCAGTACTCAACAAGGTCCGTCTCCAATACAACACCCAATACTCAACGGCTCCCGTCTCCAACGCAGCACCCAGTACTCAACGGCATCCCGCTGCAAGAGAGAAAGAGCCCTTAGGAGTTCTACTGGGATTCCGATCCGCCCGCCCGCCGCCCGCCGCCCGCCCCCCCCCGCCCAAACAACCACTGCAACGACCCAAAGTTGGGAGTTGTTTTTGTTCGGAGGTGTTCCGCGAGGTTTTCAGAAATAGTTCGTTGTTCAGTGCGCGTGGCCCCAGAACCCGTGATGAAAAAACAAGAGCAATTCCTGATGTTTTGTCTGGGGTTTCCCGGGGGGGCGTTCACCATCGAGCCCGTCAGAAACAGTATTGCGTTTAAGTGTGGGGCCCCAGAACTCCCCCACAACCATAGACAAAAACAAGAGTTTAGTTGTTGTTTGGGTGTGCCCCCCAGAACCCTCAAACAAAACATGGAACAAACAACGATTTGAATTTTTCTTCCGTGGGTTTTCCGAAAAGGGGGATTTCCGAAAAGGGTGTTCTGAAATAATATAGTTTTCATTTGTGACCCCCCAGAACCTCAAAAAAAGTGGGGACAAAACCTGAATTGGGAGGTTTTTTGGAGGGGTCCCCACCCCGGAAACGAATCAACATTTTAAACAACAAAAGAAACACCAGAAAAAAACAACGACAACCAACATAAACAAACACATAATACTCATACTACTAATAAGAACAATAGTAATAATCAGAATACGAACATTAGACATACTAATAACACTAAAAATACGAATAATCATAATAATGGTACGAGTAATAATAATGATAAAACGAATTGTATGTGTTTCCCCTGGGGGGGGGCTTCTGAATTAATATTGTGTTTATTAATGGTGGGCCCCCAGAGCTCCCAAAAAAAACAATCGAACTAACTCCCGAGTTTTTTTTTTTTCCTTCGGGGGGTGTCTGGGGGGTCTTCGGGAATATTATTGTTATTTATTTGAGGGCCCCCAGAACCTTCAAACAAACGCGAAAAACTGTCTAGTTGTTTCTTTTGTTCCGAGGGTTTGTCTGGGCTTCACGAACAATCGAACAACATCAGAGTTCGGAGGTTTTGCGGTGGTGTTCCGGGGTTTCTAGATATAGTTTTGTTTTTTTTGTGGGGCCCCAGAACTCCCGAAACACCCACCCACCCGAAACACCTGTCGAAAAACCACCGGGTTGGAAGGTTTTTCGCGGTTCCAACCTTTCGGAAATTGAAGAAAAACCTGATACAAACTGTCGGGTTTGGGGTTTTTGGGGGGGGGTCTGGGGGTGTCTTCAGAAATACTGTTTTTATGGCCGGGAAACTTCAGAGAGATACTCGAGTTGGGGGGGGGGGCCGGGATTTTCAGAAATGGCATTGTTTTTGCTTGCGGGGCCCCAGAACCGCCGAAAACCCATCAAAAACCACCAGAGTTGGGAGGTTTTTCAATGGTCCCCCCCCGGATAACCACTGAACAAAAAAATCTGATTCACGAAAGTGAAGCAAAGTTGGACTCCCCGCTGGCCCTCCTCGTGTCCCTCGCGCGCGCGCGCACGCCGCCTGGGGCTGGCGGCGGCGGCCCAGGAGAACCCCTGGGGCGCGGGCGCCGCGCAGGGCTCGTCCTCGGGCGCGAGCGCTGGGGCGCAGCTGCCCGAGGTGCCCGGGCGCACGAGTACCCACTCGGGCGCGGGCGTCGCCTGCGGCTCGATAGGGAGGACGGTCGGCCGGGCTCAGCCTCGACGGGCCTCCTCCTCCTCCTCCTCCTCCTCCTCCTCCTCCTCCTCCCCTCCCTCCTTCCCTCCCTCCTTCCCTCCTCCCTCCCTCCCTCCCTCCCTCCTCCCTCCTCCCTCCTCCCTCCTCCCTCCCTCCTCCTCCCTCCTCCTCCTCCCTCCGCTTCCTCCTCCTCGTCCTTCCTCCTCCTCCTCTTCCTCCTCCTCCTCCTATTCCTCCTTCTCCTCCGTTTCCTCTCTTCTCTCCTCCTCCTCCTCCTCCTCCTCCTCCTCGTCTTCCTCCTGCTCCTCCTTCTCCTCCTCTTGTCTCCCTCCCTCCCTCCCTCCCTCCTCCGCCTCCTGCTTCTCCTTCGCCTCCTGCTTCTCCTTCTCCTCCTGCTGCTGCTGCTCCTCCTCCTCCGCCTCCTCCTTCTTCTCCTTCTTTTCCCTCCTCCTCCTCCGCCTCCGGCTCCTCCCATTCCTCCTCCTCTTCCTCCTCCTCCTCCTACTCCTCCTCCCTCTTCCTCCTTCTCCTCCTCTTCCTCCTCCTCCTCCTCCTACTCCTCCTCTCCCTCTTCCACACATCCAAGTTCCAGAAAAGCCACAAGACTTCTGTTGTCGGCTGCTCTCGACCTTCGGGGGCCATGGCCGTGCCCTGGGGCCGTCCAAAGTCGGCTGAGGACGAAGCGCTGGCCCTGAAGAAGTGACCAGGGCTTCTGGGGGCAGCGCAATGAAAACATCAGAACGTCGGATGTCTGGGTGGGGATAACGGAGCTGGTGCCTTCTCCAAACGGGCAGCACTTCGTCCCGAGCCGTCTCTGTCGGTCCCACGGGAGCCCGAAAACAGGGGAAATCGGCGGCGAGCACAAGGGGGGGAGCGAGCAGGAGCAGGCCTTCTAAAAGACGGCGGGGCTTCTCAGAAGCCCTGGCGACTTCTGAGAAGTTTCCTGTGTCTTCTGGGAAGACGCAGAAATCTTCTCAGAAGGCCAGAGGCCTTGCGAGCCTTCTGAAGGGCACGTGCCCTTTGACTTCCCACCTGGGCTCGCCGCCGAGGTAGGGCAGCAGGGCCCTTTTCCGTCACGCGCGCCCCTGGTCCTGGGCCTACACTCCGTGAGGATACCGTCAGAATTGAGAACACAGACGCGCGGCAAGAACGCAAGACCCTTGGACGCCCAAGTTTACTTGTTGGGCGGCGCACGGTAACAATCCCAGCGGACGCAAGGGTACCCTAACCGACCCCCGTCCTTGCTGGAGTGTTGCGCCACGCAGTCTGAGGACGTCGCCAGTCGTGAGGGCAGATCCCTGAGAGGCGTGCCAGCGAGAACGGCCAAGGACGGGACGAAGAGGCAAGGACGCAAGGGCAACCTTGGAAAGTTACTCGTCAACACAATCAGTTTTGACTACAATAGGGAGGAAGGGAGAGGAGGGAGGAGGAGGAGGAGGAGGAGGAGGAAGAACCAACGAATAATGCAGAGTCCGCGATTCCGATCGCAGCGGAACTGCGAGCGCGGAGGCGAAGACGAGAGCTCACAGGCAGTCGAGCCCGTCGTCGTTGCAGGAGGGGGCCGAGAGGGCAATCGGCGCGGCGGGTGAAGACGGGATGGGGGAGACAAGAGGGAGGATAACCTAGGCGCCCTCGCGCCACACCTAAGATCCAACCCCTCCCACCCATCTCTTCTCATTGAGTTGGGTTCCGTATCCACCGACTGAGGTATCCAAGAGGACTTTGAGCCCAAAACGGCGGTTGCAGGATTCGACCTATCGTTTGCTGTGCTGTCGGGGACGGGGGCACTTCCAATTATATTGGAGGTGGAAAGCGAGGAGGATAAGGGGGATGGAGTCGGAGAAGGAGCACGAGAGGGGTGGATCGGGGGGGGGACGGCGACGACGAGGAAGGAATCAGACCCAAAGGTGTGGCCCGCGCTGAGGCGAGAGCGCAATATTGCACGACGGGAACAACACACGAATCCTGAAATGTGGCCAGAGCTGCAGCAGGAATGCCGCTTCGCTCCCATTCAAAACACATATGACCAAAACATGTTGGCCAGCGTGGACCCCAAACAGAGATTTCTTGCAATCGATGCGTTGCCGTGCAATCAATGTGGTGCAATATAGCTGGTACAATCAATGTGGTACAACCCATTTGGCGCAACGCAATACAAACCAATGCAAAGCAATGCATGGGCATGCATGGGCATGCAAAGGCATGCAAAGGCATGCAAGGCCATGGAAAGCCATGCAAAGAAATGCAAAGGCGCTGCAACGCTGCAAGAAGCTGCAAGACGCTGCAAGGCGATACAACGCCCCGCAGAGCAGTGACAAGCAATGCAACGCAATGCAAGCGAGCGGCACCGGCGGGCGGCGACGAGCTGGCAGGACAGCCAGCCAGGCCCAAGCGAGCGGTGCCGACAGGCGGGAAAGGGCGGCGACAAGCCGGCCAGGCCAGACCACCAGCCAGGCCCAGTTCCTGAGAAGAAGTAGGAACCCTGGAAGCAAGCGCTGCTCGAGGAAAACAATGCGAAGTCCGCCCCTGAAAGGAGCCAACGAAAGGCGGGCCCACTCCTCCTCTCCACCGTGTTCCTCCATCTCGCTCCTGCGGCTGCCTCCTCCTCCTCCTGCTCCTCCTTCTCCTCCTCCCTGCTCCTCCGCCTCCCCTCTCCTCCCTCCTCCCTCAACACGTAGAGGCTTCATAGATGGGGTCCGAGTGGATGGGGTCGATCGGCGATGAATCGGCGTCCCTCCCTCCCTCGCCCTGCCTAAGTCTGTCCTGGGCTTCCCTGCCCCACCACCAGAATACTCTGGCGCCGCGCGCGCGGGCCGCAGACGGGCTGGCCCTTCTGGGGAAGCCAGAACATGTACAGATACCGCTACTCCCCAGATCTCTCCCAGGCTTCGCTGCCTCGGTACGCAACACGCAACATGTCGCGTATTGATACGGAGCTCAACGCGTAGACTGGAAACGTAGGTCTGAAGCGACACGTTCGCCAAAACGTGGGCCGATATACGTGGAGCCAACACGCAACGTATTCACACGGACGTCTTGAACACGGCACGTGCTGTGTTTCAACACGGGCGTATCAGGGCAGCTAAGCACTAGACCTCGCCTGGGGCGCGTTGTGGCCAGAACCTCGAGGCGAATCGAGCTGTGGCGACCAGGGCCTCCCAGGAGGTCCAAGAAGGGGAAAACGAGGGAGGGATAGCGGTGTGGGTTCCTCTTCCGCCTCCGAGTTCCCGCTTTCCAGTTGCAAGTGGGCGCCAGCAGCAACCGCTGTGCGTGCGCCACGCATGCGCTGCGCTGGAGGCTCCAAGGGCCCAGCTCCCTCAAGTGGCCTGCGCCACGGCGACGCCTCGCACGTCCAAGCCAGGCGCGCGCGCGCTGGAAACGCACATTCTCGGGGCCTCGCGCGGGGCCGAAAAGGGCGCGCAAGACCTCGCCAGTGTCCTCAGCTCGAGGAACGCAAGAGCGCTGCTCCAGCACTCCTCGCGAACGCCCGCGGCGCCCACGCGCGCCCCAAGTGCATGCGTGACGCACCCTGCATCACAGGGATGATCTCCACAACGACGATCCACATGTACCCTCCCATCTCTCCTTTTCGAGAGAGAAGATGGGATCGGACAACATGCCACTACAGCAGGCGCCAAAAAAGTGGATGCCGCCACACGCCGAAGGCCAGGTTTAAAGGTATCGGGATCAGGCTGGGGAGGGGCAGCACGAGCGAGAAAACGGTTGCGTTTGAAAGCCGTTCTCTTTCTCACCAAGCGTGTTGGATAGATCCCGCCAGCGCCTAGGAGAATACGCCGAGACAGCGAACGTCGAGCACGAGCTGACTGATTGCTGATGTACCCTCCCCATCTTCTGCTCCCAAAGCGCGCAAAGGCCGCCTGCCAGATGCTCCACACACCGCCCACACTCGCAAAATGTAGCGAGCTGGCCTTTCAACAAGCACGCGGTTCCGGCCCAGGCTCGACACGCGCACCCTGCCGGACGGAAACATATTGGACACCGAAGCCCGACGGAGGGCGCCGCGCGGCAACCTCGTAAACCTCGTGGTCGCAGGGAACGGAGCGCTGGGCGGATGCCCTCTCGTTTGTAGCGCCTTCCGCGCTTCTTGGGCAGCTACAACTGGGGCGATTCCTTTTGGCATCCCTCCGTTCGGCCATACCCATCCTAGGTTCTGCGAGCATTCTGAGGAAGAGGGTATGGTCGAAAGAGGGCCTCGGACTGTCCCGTACGGAAGGCAGAGGTGCCCTGGTCTTGGGGGACGGCTCTGGCGGGCGGTGTTCGTCCTAGTCTCTTCGCAGGCGGGCCGCCATCACGGCCAGACAAATCCCCAGCATCTCTAGACTTAGGTCGAGCGTGACCTCCTGCAGGCGGATATTGGACGAGAAATAAAACATACTCAAAAATATGCAAAAATATTCAAAAGTAGTCAAAAAATCGTCCCCCTACTATTTTTTGGCTGTTTTTGAATATGCATCCTGTAGAGGGACATGCCCGACTGAACTCCAGACGTGAGTGTCCACGACGCGTTTCTCACATCCAGCAGGGCCCGTCTCAGACGGCTCCCCGCTCCGACCTCCTGGCCTCCGCGCCCCGCCTTGAGCGTGCTTCTGGCCGAAGGCACGGCGAGGGCATTGGACAAGTAGCCCTTAGATAAGGAGTCCAGGGTCTGGATGGCGGTTGAACGCCAATCGTATGTTGCTCCCATCGTGCTTAAGGACCACATCCCAGAAATAATTTCGAGCACCCGGAACAGTGTCGAAAGAGTGTCGAAACAGTGTCGGACGAGTGTCTCTCAGGGCCCGACACATGAAAGCCCTCGAGTTTCGGTCTGTTTTTGGTGGTCGAAATTCTTTCTGGCGGTCAAGGCTAAAGTCGGTTGGAAAATCATAACGCCAACCGTGGATCGGCCATGGATGCCACCGCCGCCGTCATCAGATCAGGAATTTCCTAGGGTCTGAAGCCTCCTGGGTACATTCCTGAGCGG